CCCCCTACCCCCCCCCGGCCGCGGGGGGGAGCCGCTTCCCAGGAACGTGCTCACCTGTATTTGGAGGTGCTGAAGTTGATTTTGCTCTGCAGTTTTCCCATGCTACTGCACACGAGCCAAGGTGAGCCGCTGCGTCCACACAGCCGGGAACCCTCCGCGCCTCAGGCTCTCCCGGCGGGGCCTGGGGGTAGAAGAGGCCACGTTATGGGGAATGGATGAACCACTTCTGCTCATTCCACCCATTGGATCCAGGGCTGGTAACGCAGCACTTTCTCCAGCCATTGGCTGAGCTGTGTTGCCTTACTCCTCTCCCTCTCTGCATGGGGCCGGTGGGAGGGGTAGCCAGCGGATGCACCGCATTAGCAAGCCTGCCGCTGTACGAGGGGAGGGGGTGTCTGCGCCCCTGCGGCTGCATTTGGTGGGGGGTGACTGTGGTAAAGAACTGAATGTTGTGCTGGCGGATCCATTCCCGCTGGCCACGTGTGCGGCTCAGCCCCTACTGAACGACCTCAGCACTCCCAGGCAGCATCACCTCCACCGTGCACGTTTCTGGCAGGTCCTGGACGTGGGCATCTACCAGCTCCCTGCTCTGAGGCTCTCCAGCTGCTGCCTGCATTGAGGGTGACCTTGGTCATGAGCCAGAGACCTAGAACTGCACGTTTCTGTGACCCGTCCCGCGAACCTGCGGAAGAGGCCAAGGAACGTACCCAGAAGATCCCAGCAGGCTGCTGTCCGAGCGGCGTGGGTAACGCGGGGCCCACCGGGAAGGCACCATTCTAGCAGCAAACAGCAAACTGGCGGGGCCAGTCACCTCCGTGGTGGTGGCGAAACCACGAAGGGGAAGCGAGCAGCATTGAGCATGTTCCCACCCTTCGGGGTAAAGGCCCCCATCACTCCACTGCCCCAACGGCAGTCAATCGACACACAAAGGAGCGGCAGCTGCCCACGCCACGGGATGGTTTCAGTAATCGCTGGAAAGGCTCTAGCTGGATTGATTTCGGTCTGACTTAGCTGTTCTCTAAAGCTCCTGCCTTCTGGGCCAGCAGGCGCCTGCTGCAAAGTCCCCAGCAGCACTGACCCGTGTGCCCGAGCAAACAAATCAGATAACCTCACGGCTGATCCCCGCAGCCTGAGCACAGATGCCGGAATTGCGAGCTCAGAGCGTGGACTGGTTTCCTGGCAGACCCTTCCATTCTAATTTTACCCTGCTGCCCTTTGCAAGTAGCAGCTAGTGGGATCTAGTTAAACTCTGCTTGTTCAATCCAGATGTTTATACCAGCTAAAAGGGTGAAAAGGTAACCAATCTCCTGGGTCAGGGAGTGTATTAATTGGATAACGGACTTTCTTTCAGTCACAACACGGCTGCAGACTATTTCAGTGCCCTAGGAACAGAGTGGGGGGTTTTTTTTGGCAACAGGAAGAAGCTGGAAGTGTCCTGCAGGGTTGAGATCCCAGGCTCTGGCTGAAATCACCTGAAGATGGACACTGACCCATAACCTCTGGACTATTCCCAAAAGGACTCTTTGCAGCTAGAAGAGCATCATCTCCAGCTCGGGAATCGAACTCGTGTCTGGATGTAGATTGAGCTTTTAACCCTCATTCTCTTTTTTAATTAATTTTACTCTATTTAGTAACAACCAATCGATACCTTGTAGAAATGTGCATCTGCCCCTCTTTCTGCCTACTCAACAACTTCTCCTAAACAGTAAGAGTGAGGGCTCCTAAATTCGGGAGGCAGCGACCTCTCCTAACTTAAAGCAAGGTCAGGGTTTGGCTGCGCCAGGACAATGGAAGTGCTGGGAATGGGACTGTTTTCCATAACATGGGAAGGGAGGGACTGTTTGGAGGAACCACAGTGGCCACTGGGGGCAGCGAGAAGGAAGGGGAGAGCTATCCTGCAGAGTGGCCACTGGGGGCAGCCATACCACCAAGGGAGTGGTCAGCAGGGTGGGGTTCTGCCATCTTGCCTGCTAGCACACTGGTAAGTAGCACCCCTGCTCCAAACACATTCCTTCCTCCAAGCCCTTGGGGGGTGAAGAGGGAAGAAAAAAGCCCTTGGCAGCTAGGGGGGTGGTCCGGGAGTGAGAGAACTGGCCCCAGGCTGGCTGGGGGAAGTGACTGGGGTGAGGGAAGAGGCT